ATTATAGCGGCAGAAGGTTGAATTTAAATTTATTTATTTATTTGGTTAGTGTTGTATTTGAAGGAAACGAGTCTAAAATAGTTTTAAAATTTTTGTACGTGGCCAATTTAATTTATAGTTTCACATTTCTCTAATTTATTAGTTTATCGATTTTATAATATTAATCACAAATGATTACTCAATGATTAAACTGGTATTGGATTTATAACCCAATTTTCATCTGCTTCCACCCGATGGACCATTTGGGTTCAATTTTTTATTTTCAAGGGATTACATTTGTGATGTACTCGGAGACTAAATTGGTGACACACAGTTGGTGGTTTATTTTGGGTTTTTTCTGCATCCGTGATTTCTTTCATTTTTGCAGCTATATATTAAATATCAAGCCCTTGAACCATTCTAAATTGTTGTCCCTTCATGATAAAAGGGCAGAAACGTCAAAAAGGCAATATATTAACGGATTTCATGATCCGATTATAAGTTGAACGCTTATCTGGGTGGTGGTTAGATATGACAATTCAGTCAGAATCAAAGGCGCAAACCATTCAATAAAGTCCCAGACTTTGCTCTGTTACTTTTAACCCTATCTTTTGCCAACACTGTTAGGTTTCTGCTGGCCAAAACTCGGGTCAGTTAAACCGTTGCCAAAACTGTTGAGCACCCAAAACAAGCTTACAAAAATCTTTTCCTCATAACGTGTACATTGGATTACTTCTTCACATACACTTAATATGTTTCAAATTGTCTCTATTCCAATTGTTCTTTGCTTTTGTTTCTTTCATCTGTTTTTAGTCATCTGCTTACGTCAGAAAAAAACAATTTCTTTTTTTTTAGCGTTGGAACTTCAAGCTATTAAAATATTGAGGCCAGAACAATACAAGTTGCTCACTTTAAATAAGCTTGGTATTATCTATCCACATTTCACTTATTTTCCATTGTGGACCCCCGGTTCTTGACTTTTTTTTTTTTTTAATCTGATGAATGGTTCTTTTATTGGAGAAATTGTTAGGTGTGGACGAGAAAGGCTTGAAAGTTGCATTTTGGCAATTAGGAGCCTGTACAAATTTTGTACAGATTTCATGTGTTCACTCTTGATTGGCTGCAGTTGGTCCACATCTTTCTTGTCTTCGCATAATAATTTCTCATATTGACTTCCATTACTCATCAAACAATTGAATTGAAAAAAAAAAAAAAAAAAGCTAGAACTCTGTTTTAGTATTCATGAAGTTTTAAACGTTGCTGCTGCTCTTCTTGAGAATATACCTGTAAGATTATTAATGAATTGCAGCTAAATGTAGTTTCCTATTTGTGTATGAAATTTATATAATTGGAGTCTATAGAGTTATTATTTTCTGCTTTGTTTTTATTTTATGAGTTTTTCTGCTAGATTTGGTTAAATTCTATGCGAGATGAATAATATATAGAAACAAGTTGCCGAAATTAGTAAATGGGCACACGGAAGTTGATAGACTTTTGTACAGTAGCTGGCAATCATATCATATCATTAATTGAAAGACGGACAGTATTGCGAATATTTAATGAATAATTTACTTTTTAGGTTATGCTAATTTATTGAAGCTCCTTTCAAATTTCTCAGAAAGTTCAAGGTTTCAAAAAGCTTGCAGAGAAAAAAAGGTAATCGTTTTGGTTCAGGTTTGATTTTGATATGCAAACATGCATGATTATAAGTTATACAAAATTTTTAAATTTGATGGGAATTGTTTTATTGCTCTTCCTATGTTGAAGGAGGTTCTAGATTTTCTTTAGCCCTCCAGATCAGACGGTTTAAATGGGTTGTTAGAGTTGTTGAGGGTAGGAGTGAGCATTCAGTTGGTTTTGATGAATTGATTTTTAATTTGGCCAAATTGGTTCCAACTGAAATTCAAAATCCAAAAAAATTAATGCAATTGATATTTTATAAATTTGAACTGATTTAACTGAAATTTAATTTAGTTTAAACGATTCGGTCATGAATAAATTAAAATTTAGTTGTTAGTTTAGGTTGGGACCGTTGGGTTACCAGTAAACATCAAGAATTATATATATTGTGTACCATTGATTTATTTTCATTTAACTTCAAGATTCTGATTTTTTTTTTTGTTGGTTTTGTTAAATGAAATTTAAAACTGAAGTGAGAATAGAAAATAAGATATTGAAATTTAAAAAATTGAAAATAATTTAAAAAAAAAACTAAATCGATTCAATCAAATTTGTTTGGTCAGGTTTGATTTTTTGGTTTTGCTGAAATAATGAACGTTGTTTCTTCGGAAGAAAAAAAGGAATGTTACTGATTGAAGATGTCGGTAAAGTAGAGACGGCGAGGATGATTCACCATTTATTCTTATCAAGTTACAAGCATGTCATTTAAATAGGAAAATAATATAGATCTCCCAAGGAGAAATTTAGAAAAATAATCACTAATGTGATAAAAATCCAAGTAGAAGTGTCTAATGATCAAGTCTTACACAAAGTATTTCCATTTAGGCGGATTAAATCTTAATTATAATTAAAATTAATATAAAAATTTAGAGAACGGAATTGCCTCACCTCTATGTGCAGAATAATTTCTGTAATAAAGAGTTTATACAGAAAAAAATCATGCCTCTTGATTGTCGGGGCCAATACGGTATACCCCTATATGGGACATTACCCCTATATGGGACATTCGTGTCATTGTTTAGAGCAGGAAGAGCCTTGTCTTCATAACATGTGGTATATGGATCCTCATAATATAACAACAAATCCGCAATATTGAAGGTAGCTTAAATATTATATCTTGCTAAGTCGATTTTATAATTGTTATTATACCGCTTTGCAATTTTGAAAAGACTTGAGCTTTAGACTTGATTTCTTCCAAATGAGCTTTGTAAGAAATCACTCCTTTAGTTTAATCCACACCATATCATATTCTTTGATGACCATAGCATTTTTAGGCATATTCAGTGATTTCTTTCCTCACATGTTCATATAAGATTTGAATCTCTCAAAATCTGACCCCTACATCAAAACTAAACTTGCTACTGGAAAGAATATGTACTAACTGTAATAGCATGAGAGGGTTTAATCCCTATATAATCTCAAAGGGGCTATGACCTATGGACCGATTAGTGGATCTGTTGTGTGCACTCAATTTGAGGAAGAACCATGTCCATCTATCTATGGTTTTGTTGCTTAACTAGAATGAGCTTTATGCCCAATTTATCCCATAGGCTCCTTCAAAAGTGGTTCAAAAAATTCATATCCCCATCTAAAGTGATGGTCCGGCGTATGCCATGAAGATTTATAATCTCTTCGAAATATTAATCTGCAATATGTGAAGCATCATCGCCTTGCAATAAAATATAAAATCTTTCATCTTGAAGATGTGATCCATAATCACTAAAATTGAATTTTCACTCAATTGGGTTTGTGGAAGACTTAGAACGAAGTCCATCAACAAATATATTAATTATTATGCTCCTAAATCTCGAATAGATGAAATATATTACAATTTTTGACATGCCTTTCAACATCCCCTTACCAGTCACATCCAGTATTATTTTTTCATTAGGGTGAGAGTTTTATACTTATCAAAATATCTTCATTTCCAAATGTCATGTCATTCTCTAATTATAATAATTTTATAAAAAAGGTTCTGTTAGTGAACTCGTAAGAATGTACAACATATTTTTGAAGAACAAATAACGATCAAATTTATAATATCATTCATTAGGTGTCTCCTAATAAGTCCAAATCTCCTAGAAGTTGTCCTCAATGACACAACTTCAACACTTCAAAGCTAAGAACTATATACTACATAGTGTAAACAAACAAACAAAGATGATTCAAGACATCAACAATCTTGTTTTGACTCTCATCTTTGTATTTAAGCACGAGATGGAATGAAAAAAGAAACTATATCCAAGAGGCAAACCGACCATTCAACTTTCTCTAGTTGTCTAGGAATCTCAGAACTCCATGATCAATGTAAAGAGTATAGTCATTTGTTACCATGCTCTAATGATAAGGAGCCTCACCTAGCTAAATTACTTACGCCTATAGTCATCCAACTTCCTATAGAAGGCAATAGGGCCGCCACTTTAATTTAGTTCATCTCCAGTCCTCACATTAGATACATCAAATTAAACTTCAGTCTGATTAAAATATGGAAGAGCTATAAGAGGGGCTTGTGTAACTTATTTTTACAATGCTTCAAAGATAACTTGTGCTTTATCTAAATAAGGGAATATTCCAGACCTGAGATGCTCCTACATGAGTGCAACTATCGAGCTACAATTTTTTATAAATCTCTTATAAAAAAAAACTAATTCATGAAATTGAGTTACTTGAGTAAATGATTGTGGAATGGGCTAGTTTAATAATAGTCTTAATCTTAACTGGGTTCATTTTAATGCCAACCGCTGAAATAATATACCTAAAGAAGCATTTCTATTTTTTAGAAAGTGACAGTTCTTCTAATAATCATATTGTTGTTATGTTCAAAGATCTTAAAAAATCAATCATAAATATTGCAAATGCTCATATTTTGAATAGTTATACACTAGTATATTATTACAATACACAACCACATTTAATTTAGCTCATCAATGTCATATAAGTTTTTAGTGCATTGGATAAACCAAATGACATGGCTGTCTACTCATAAAATTCATCTCATCTTGAAATTGATCTTTCACTCATCTCTGGGTCTCATTAGAAGGTAGTGGTACCCACTATGAAAATTTATGTTGGAAAAAAATACTAGTTATATTCAACTAATACAATAAATTATTCCATCTCAGGATGAGGAATTAATGTTTAATGTTGTTCTTATTCTCTATCCTCTTATCATTCATATATAAATTAATATTTAAAGGTGATGTTTTTCTCTATCATGCTATCATTGTACATATGTTTTGACCCATCTTTTTTTGGACACAGAATGCTAGTATAACACACAGACTACTACTCTCATGTACAACATCCGGATCATCAAATCATTGACTTGCTTCTGTAGCTCTTCAGATTACTAGTGAATCTGATAAACTGGTCCATTGAGGAGCATTGATGAGATCTATTACACGTTGAATTTCATCATGAGATGATAATTGAGTTGATAAACTATTAGTTAGACATTTTGAAACTCTTTCAATAGAGGTTGCACTACCTCTAATATTGAGCCTTCATCTCAAGTCCTCCAATCAAGATTAATCCCACTAGTGTCTCTTGCACAACTTATAGAAATATAACTCAATGCATTATAACTTTGATCCATGTTTGAATACTCATCACTATTGCTTCCTTCAATGAAAAAAGTACAATATGCTTCCCATTGTTGACAAATAAATAATTACTTTTGTGGCCATCATGAAGTGTATATCTATAATACTGATGGTACAATAGGATGTCACATGCATCCATCAACGTGATTTTACACCACATTTGATCTTGTAGCTCTTCTCTAATGTAGAACACTACTATGATTCTTGTCAATACTAATCTCATTCTCAATTTTCACCAAGTCATAAAATATAATTGGGAATGCTTCTTGCCAGTGAGGTTGAATTTTTACACCATCCATGAGAACATCAAACCTAACATTTGTCTCCATCTATAATGAAGTTGTACATCTTACCTTTCATTATGCAAAAAGTAAGAAAGATGTTACAACTAACTCACCACTGCTCCCTCTTTGGTTTGGTTTGCATAATTCATCAAAACACAAGCATCTCATTTTCAGCTATGGGTAGCTGCTACTGCTCGTTATTTTGATCTCTTTATCTCCACTATATGTTTCTTCCACCACACCCTACTTAGTAAAAAAAATAGCTCTTTTATTTGGACCTTTAGATGGAATATGTTCATATTCATGATATTTGAAATACTTCATGATCAGGAATGC